ACAAACAAGCAATAGCTAGGTTTAGTCTGAAGTTACCAAGAATCCTTTAGCTCCAGATGAGAAAAATGGTATCTTCCAAGTCCAAACAAATGCATCATCTGGAATCAAAGCTCTTGGAACCAGTCCTCAAAAGCCCCTCATCATGCAATCAAAAGCTGTGTCTGAGAAAAGTGGCAGGAACCCTCCTTTTTCTATGGCTGATTTAAGATGATCTTCAGCTATAGAGATCAAAGGCTTTAGTGTGACTGGATATCCACCTTCTTCACCTCCAGTAAGCCCTCAGCCTCAAACCACCTTTGGCCACAGAAGCTGAGAGCACCACTGCTCAGTACCCAGCAGCCAGGAACTACAGAAGGGACCATACAATGGGCTCCTGTTTCTAACACCACCACCCCTGCCTCCAGCTTTCCAGTTGGTCCACAACAACTGTGGTAGTCATTTCCGTATGTATGTAGAGTGTCGTGGGGTAGCCAATGAACTGGGAGTGCTTCTTCACCACCTCTTTCACACGACGCTCCTGCAACTACTCAGTCCGGTCTTCCTTCAAGTACAGGATCACTTTGGTGTCATGTCCAATGGGCTCACCTGCAGTGTGGGAAGAGAAACATCAGTACTTCAGGGCAGACAGCAAGTGTGACCAGCTCCTCGACCCTAAATGTTACGTGATACCCAACATTAACCAGTGTGACTGACAGCCAGCACGGCTCTAAGGAGCACCAGCGAAAGGGGTACTTCTGGCAGGAAAACATGCTTGGTTTTTTGTACAATACACACCATGGTCAGTTCGGACAGTGAACGAGCCCCCAGCTGATGACTCCCAAGCATACTGCTCATCATCATTGTGCTTGGTAATGACAGCCACCTTCTCAGCCACCAGACAGGTGGAATAGAAACCCACACCAACCTGCCCGATCATGGAGATGTCTGCGCCAGCCTGTGAAAGCAGAGAGCAGCTGCTAAGACCAGTGTACAGGCAGAAAATGTCTGTGACTGATTCACAGCAGCAAAGAACCGGGTCAAGCACACAGAGAAAAACATGCAAGTGTCAACAGGCAACCAGCTCTATGCTCAGCTCCTCCTTGGTGTTGGAAAGATGGGGAAAGCAAACTTGAGTAGGCCAACATTTCCCACAGGAAGCAAGGCGGCAGGGCCTTTCTATTGTTTATTTATTATTTGTACATTCAGTGCCAGCCTGTGACCCAGGTGTTGGGAAACCCATGCAGCCAAAGGCAGCCCACCTGCAGTGCTTCCATGAAGGCTTTGGTCCCAGATTTGGCAATGGTGCCCAGGTTGTTGATGAGCTCTGCTTTTGTCATCCCAATGCCAGTGTCCACCAGAGTCAGTTTGCAGTCCCAGGGTTGGGGATGATATCAGTTTTCAGGTCTTTCCCACTGTCCAGCTTGGAGGGATTGGTCAGGCTCTCATAGCGGATCTTATCCAGGGCCTAGGGGGAGAGGGATGCTTGACACAACCTCCCTACTCATGAGCCTTCTCCATCCCTGCCCTGCACAAGCCTTCCCGGAGAGCTAGGAGTCTGCCTCTTCCCAGGCACCCCTGGAAGGACACCAGCCCGACTCCAAGCCTGCAGGCAGAGGAAAGAGCCCACTCCCACCCGGGCTCACGTCAGAGGCATTGGAGATGAGCTCCCGTGGGAACATCTCCTTATTGGAATAGAAGGTGTTGATAATGAGTGATATGAGCTGGGCAATCTCCGCCTGGAAGGCGAAGGTCTCCACATCCTCCTCCTCGTGCTGCACTTTCTCCGGCGTCTATAAGACAAACATGTGAAAAATGCCAATCACCTGGTTTTTAAAATTTTAAAAGTTTAATAATAATAAAATGGTTAAAAAAATAATAATACAATTAGAGTAATAGAGTTTAGAGTTAGGACAATTACAAGACAATAAAAAGCAAAGAATTATGGACGTCCGGATGCTCTCGGACACTAAGTCACAAAAAGCATGCCTTGTGAACAAAGGAATCACCCTTAAACCAATACACTTGTTGCATATTCATACATCCTTCATGGTTATGCATACATTCTATTCTAAACAAGAAACTGCTGTATGTCAACTGTTTCCTTTAATCCCCTGGCCTCTTGGAATCTGAGCAAGGACTGAAGAAATTAGCTTCTTCTGATAAGAAGCCATAAATTCCTCTCCTGTGGAAGATTTAGGTGTTCCTCGAAGCAAGTATCTCATTCCTAAAAAGAAAACTCCCCCCACATACATAGTCTTTATTTTAACATTATGTTGTAACCTAAAACTACACTTAACACAATACGTAAGAGAATTAATACAGCATAACTTTCTAACATGACACATATAATATTCATTGCAACATTTGCGAAAAGCCACTCATAAATATGCATTTTTCACAAACACATGCCTATTTTCAGTACATTTTCAGGGCAAGAGACTCAGAGAGTGGGTGATGGGGGCATCAGGCCCAGCCCCACGTCCCGCTCCGACCCTACCGTCCCGGGCGTAAGGGAGCGGCGAAAGCGCTTAATTGACCCCCGGCTGCTTTTTATAGGCACGGGACGAGGGGGCAGGCTCAGGGCGCACCGTGTCCTTCCGCTTTAAAGGCGTCTCGCTCAGGGAACCGAGATCGATGGTGTACGGGAGGCACCGGCGTTGCCGTTTAGCGGCGGCCGTGGCGGGGGCGGGCGTGCAACAAACGCTCAGCTCCGCGCTACCGCTCTGCCAGCCGCGGCTCCCCGCCGCCCTCGGCCCCGGGACCTCCTAGCGCCGCGCCGGGGAGCCCCGGCCAGGAGGAATACAGCTGCGGCTGGAAAACCACTGCCCGAGTATCCCACCGCGGCGGCACCGCTTCGGCTCCACGGCTGGGGCGCGGAACCGGGGATCCGCACCGCCCCAGCTTCACCCGGCGGCTCCCCTCGAGGCCGGGAGCCGCGTAGTTCTGCTGGCCTGAGGCTGCGTGAAACTGAAGCACAGCGGCTGCAGGGGCGGGGACAGAAGGTGTCAGTGCCGCAGTGTACGGGCGGCCTGTGTCGCGGTTGCAAAACCGCGTTTGGAGACGTTGTCCTTTCAGTGTCAATCAGTCTTAAGCCTTACCATTCCAGTATCTGCAGTACTCTGTCCATTTCTGAGCTTCTCAGTAAAAGAGAGACATGGAGCCCCTGGAGTCTGTCCAGCAGAGGGTAAAAAAGATGATTAAGGGACAGGAGCATTTCTCTTAAGAGGAAAGGATGAGGGAGCTGGGCCTGTTCCGCCTTGAGATGACTGAGAAGGGAGCTCATCAATGTCTATAAGTATCTCAAAGAAGGTGTCGAGGATAGAGCCAGGCTCTGCTTGGTGCTGCCAAGCAATAGGACAAGAGGCAGAAACCACAAACTGATACACAGGAAATTCTGCCTGAAAATACATAAGAACTTACTTACTGTGTTAGTGATGCAGCACTGGAAGAGATTGCCCACAGAGACTGTGGAGACTCCATCACTGGAGATGCTCAAGAACAGTCTGGACACAATTCTGTGCCCTGTGCTCTAGGATGACCCTGCTTAGGCAGAGATGGTGGACTTAATTATTCACTGTGGTCCCTTCCAACCTGACCCATTCTGTGATTCTGTGTTGAAGCTGTCGGTACAAAAGCCCTGACGAGCAAAAGGAAGTTGGAAGTGGGATGAGGGGACCCAAGCTCCCACACAGGTTTTGCTGCTTGGTGGTGCAAAGAGGTGATGGCTGTGAATCAATGATGTGGGACAGAGGGAGGGGGATTCCCGCTGGCAGGCTGGTGTAGTTCACCCCAGCAGCAGGAGGTGGCACTCTGTTTTCTCCCAGGCACAAGGAAAGCTGCCAGGTGCTGTGCTGCAGGGCACTGCACCTCCAAGTATGAAGGTGCATCTGCTCTTCATCAAAGGTGTCAGTATTCCCTTGGTGTACCTCGAGGGCAGCATCCCTGGGGTGCTAGTGGATGAGAGGCTTCACCATGTGCGCCCACAGCTCAAAAAGACAGTGGTGTCCTGGGTTGCATCCAAAGCAGCACGGCCAGCAGGGCAAGGGACAGTTTACTGCCCCTGCTCTGGTGAGAACCCACCTGCAGTGCTGCATCCAGCTCTGGGGTCCCCTGCACAGGAAGGACTTGCACCTGTTCGAGATAGTCCGTAGGAGGAGCAGCAACATGATCAGAGGGATGGTGCACTTCTCCTGCAAGGGATGTCTCAGAGAATTTTTGTTCAGCCTGGAGAAAGCTTTGGTGTGATCTAATTGTGGCCTTCCAGTACCTGAAGGGGACCTACAATAAAGATGGATAGGGACAAAGAGTATGTAGTTACAGAACAAGGGGGAATGGTTTCAAACAGAGGGAAGTTTTAGATATTGGGCAAGAAATGTATTACTCTGAGGGTGAAGAGGCACTGGAACAGGTTGCCCAGAGAAGCTGTGGATGCCCCAACCCCCCAAAGTCTTCAGGGCCAGGCTGTATGGGACTGCAAGTAACCTGGTGAAGTGGAAATTGTCACAGCCCATGTCAGGGGGTTTGGAACTGGATGATCTTCAAGGTCCTGAACCATTCTGATTTTATAGTTCTACGATCCCCTTCCCACACTGGCTGTGTCATAGCTGGGCCTGGCTGTGCAGGGCATGCACACACCATTCCCACCATTTCTGATGCTGGTTGCAGGGGGCTACAGGATATTAAAGAAATGCCAGTGCCTTCTCAGTTCAACCCTTGACCCTCCACAGCCCCTCTCCCCTGTGGCGACAGAGACAAAAACACATACCCAAAGGAGCTTTTTGTTCTTTTTATAGAAAATGGCAACTGTATAGACACATTTACACAACAAGGGACAGGAAAGCCAAGGGAGAGGTGAGGCCTTCCCTTGTAGCACACATGGGTAGGGAAGGCAGCTTTGTTGGGAAGGGAGTTGCTGCCTTTCCTCTTGTAACCCACAATAGAACCTCCTGTCACACAACCAGGAGG